ATCGCTGCCCCCTCGCCGTGCCCGCACTGCGGCACTCGGCTCACAGCCCCGCTCCTCAGATCTCACCCCGAGCAGGGCCGCTGGGTCTCCGCGCAGCTCCGAGCAGGGTTGTTTTCCTTCGTTTTTTCTTTCTTCTTTTTTGTTTTTTTTTGTTTTAAGTCCGTGCCCGGAGACACAACACACCTGTTGTAGACCTTCACCGCACAGCTCGGTGGACAGCGGGAAGCAAGTGTATTGCTGGAGCAATGCCTAGATCGCCTGCCCCTGGACAGAGAGACAGCCCTGGCGTCCTCCGCCTAGCGCAGTCTGTGCGCGACTCGCTTCTGCACACACGCGTGCTTGTCCCGCACATCCCTGCACAGGTCCACGGTGCTCACACTGCGCACGAGGAAGAGCAGGGGCGCTGCGGCCCCCCGGTCGCACCGCGATACTGTCCGGCAGCAAGGAGCCCAGTCTCACCTCCAGGGTTTGAAGGCTTCAGTGCAGCGTCTCTGAACAGCTGCGGGTTACTGTTCTCCCTACAAGAAAGAAACCCGGGGCTGACGGTGTGGCTACCGCCAACCACAGAAGAAAGCCCCGCAGGCCTCCCGCATGACCCGCCGTGGTCGCCAAAACAGCTGTCGCAGCTCTCCGGCTTCGCCTGCGGGCCCGCGCCAGCAGCGCGCCGTGGGCTCCGCGCCCCGCGGACAGGCAGACAGCTGACGTCATGGGCATCGTCCCGGGGTAGGGAGAAAACCCGGCTCAGTGCTGCCCTCCTGTGGTGCGCTCTGAGCACTGCAGCCATGAGAAGCGGTGCCGCGGAGGGGAGAAGAACCCGCTGCTCGGTGTAAAATAGTATAACATTCAGAACAGGGAGCTGAAGTGACGGTGTTATTCATTTCGTACTTACTTTAGAAACCTTACATTGTACAGAAATGTATCCAATAAGGCTGTGTGTGTATACCGATATATAGATAGCGCGCGCGCGCGCGTGTGTGTGTGTGTGTGTGTACTACACACCCTCATTAATATAGTTATCTCTGTCTCTACCCGTGGCGATAGTGATGTAGCTGTTCAGCTATCGTCTTTGCATATAACCGCATGCGAATGCCTGGTTAATACATACGTACTAATAGGTGTCATGTGCATTGTGTATCCACACGTAGTGTGAAGAGAAACCCGGCTCACTGCTGCCCTCCGGTGGTGCGCTCCCAGCACTGCAGCCACGAGGAGCGGTGCCACGGAGAGGACCCCGCTGCTCGGTGCTGCCCTCCTATGGTCCTGTCGGGGCATTGCCACAGCCGGTGAAGGCGGAGACAAAGCCCTGCTCAGCTCCGCCCTCCTGTGGCCGCGCCGGGCATTCCGGCGGGGAG